TGTGTGAGTGCAGTAGGCTTGGTGTGAGTGTGGCGGGCGGGCTATGTGTGAGTGCGGTAGGCCGGGTGTGAGCATGGCAGGGGCTGAGACACACACTAGGTTGTCCTGTCCTCCAGAGGCCCAGGTGTCCACCCTGATGGCGTGCACGGTGGGTGGCCTCGTGTGCTGTGGTGCACTGCCCTGAAGTCTCCTCTGAGGTCTAGCTTATGCCACCTGACACGGAAGGATTCTCCACATTTCTTAGTTCCTTCTTTCTAGAGGTTTCAAAGTTTCATTACTTCCGGATTCTTCCTGTCTAGAAATAAGTTCAGATCTCAGAAGACAGCTCCAGCCCCTCCGTTTTACCAGGCTGTAAAAGGGTAAAGGGAAGGGGCAGGCATGAGACAAGCTTCTCGTTATCCTCAGCCGGCATGTAGACCCCACCTCTTCCTCTCCATTGTCTCCCCATAATAAAACCACACACACACGTACACATGTACACGCACACATGTACAAACACGGACACACACACGTACACACACGGACACACGCGTACACACACACGTATACACATGTACACACGTACACACGTCCTTACATGGGTCCTCGGCATGCAGACCCCACCTCTTCCCCTCTGTTGTCTCCCCATAATACACACAGACGTACATGCACACACACACACACACACACACACACACACACACACGTGTACACACACACGTACACACATACACGTTCTTACATGGGTCCTCACCAGAAACAGCCCTGGACCCTGAAGCTGGCCCCTGGGTCACCTTCCCTGATTCCTCCATATCCAGAAATCTGAGACCATGCTTCAGAAGGTGGTCCATCGATTTGTGTCAGAATGACCTGGGCTCCTTCTGAAAATGCAGACCACTGGGCTTACTGCAGACTTGTGGGCAGAGCCTGGGCGTCCGTATTTTCAGCAAGCCGCCTGGTGGTTCATAGGCATGCTAAAGTTAGAGGTTGCCTCAGCCGAGACTGGGCTACTACAGAACTGTTCTAATTGGTCTTTTTGCTTAAATCCAGGCCTTCTCTCAGAAAGGCCTCTCCTGTAGGAAGGTCCTGGATCATGCTTCTCCTAGGGTGCAGCACTGCAGGCCACTGAGAGCCGCTTCTGAACAGTAGGGATTTGGGAGTCATCCGCACGGATAGAATGGTTGTAACTTGGCAGTGGACGAAGTTTTTAATAGGGAGAGAGAATGAAGTACCAAAGGCAGAACCTCAGGGAATGAACGCCCAGTGTCAGAGACAGGCAGTGAGGAGAGGAAAGTGTCGTCCAGAGCAGAGAGCCTGAGGAGGTGCTGGATGTAGAGAAGTCAGGGAGAACTGGAGGTAAAAAAGACTGTTGGTGTTGACATTAAAACCCAATGCTACTGAGTCCATTCGGACTCATAGCGACCCTGTAGGACAGAGTAGAACTGCCTTATAGGGTTTCCAAGGCTATAAACTTTATGGGAGCAGATCACCAGGTCTTTTCTCCTGTGGAGCCACTGGTGGGTTCAAACCACCAACCTTTCGGTTAGCAGCTGAGTGCTTTAACCCTTGGGCCACCAGGGCTCCTCATGTTGACACTGTGAGGTCATTAATGGCCTTGAAGATGGCTTTGTTGCTTGAGTAGCAGGTGTGGGTTGCCGATGTCTGACCGCCGGAGTTGAGGAGAGAGCGGGAATGAGGAAAAGCCAACCTTCTTTTCACCCGCCTCTACCAGCCTTGACGCTGTGCTGTTTACTGCCTGTCTCCCCCACTGAAATGCCAGCTTCCTGCGGGCAGGCGTGTGTTCCCTCTGTGTTCCACGGTATCCTCAGAACAGTGCCTGGCACCTAGGAGACATTCCAGTATCTGTCACACGATTGTAGATGCTTAGCATAATATTCGAGATTAAAGGACAAAAACACACACACACTTAGCAGAGGTGAGGGAAGTCTGCTTACCTGATCACGCTCTGGAGTAGGAATCAAGAAATGCTTTTGGCCACTGGTTCAGTCGTCTTCCTGTGTGGGGCGTGGGGTGAGTGTTGGATGTGGCTCTCTGAAGTGATGCTGTTTAAGTTGCCCGTCCTCACTAACGTTTTCCCCATTGATAACACGGGTGGATGATGATCAGCATTTCAGGGAGTTTGCTTTCGTTCAGAACGTCTCACCAGCTGTGTTCAGATCCCTGGCTCTGAAGTCGGGTCCGCGTCTGCCGGGCTTTCAGGGGCAGGGCAGCAGGCCCAGGAGGAAGTCAGCGTTCACTTCACTAATCCTCTAATACTGAGGGTTGGAATGTTGTTCCAAGTCAATGACTTAATATTAAAACTCTGTCAGCCTTGCCTCAACCCATTGCCCCACTCACCCTGAATAACTTGGCTCTGTCTTTCTCTGACTTCCCAAGAAAAGAATCTGTTGTTCTTTCCTCCTTGTCTTCATAGCTGTTGATGCTTCCCTCTGCTGGAGCACTTGTCACAGTGTGTCACCTGTGCCAGGCTCTGCATCCCTTCATCTTTGTGCTCCCAATGCTTGGTGCATCCTCGACACTAACAGGAGCTCAGTAAGGTTAAGGAGCCTCGTGGCCCAGTGGTTAAGTACTCAACTTCTAACCAAAAAGTTGCTGGTTCAAACCCACCCAGCAGCTCCGCAGGTAAAAGACCTGGTGATCTGCTTATGTAAAGATTGCAGTCAAGAAAACCCTAGGGGCCAGTTCTACTTTGTTACGTGAGGTCACTATGAATCAGAACCGGCTTGACGGCACCCAACAATGACATCAAGATTAAGTTGCAGGATCTACCCAAGAGAAGTGCGCACACAAAACCTTACACATGAATGTTCCTAGCTGCATTATTCATAATAACTCAAAGCCAGAAACAACCCAGATGCCTATCAGTAGATGAATGGATAAACCAATTATGGTACATCCATACAGTGGAATATTATTCAGCCATAAAGAGAAATGAATGATTGCTACAATGTAGATGGACTTTAAACACATCATGCTAAGTGAGAGAAGTCAGTCACAGAAGACCACGACCGTGTTGCACATGATTCCATTCGTGTGAAATGTTAAGAATAGGCAAGTCTGTAGTGAAATAAGTTAGATTAGTGGTTGCAAAGGAATAGGCAGGGATGGGAGTGGGGATGAGAGACGAAGAGTGACAGCTAATAGGTACAAGACTTCTTTTGAGGGAGGTGAAAATGTTCTAAAATCAGATTATGGTGATGGTTGTACTACTGCAAAAATACACTAAACCCAAACTCGTTACCGTCAAGTCGATTCCGACCCGTAGCGACCCTATAGGACAGGAGAGCTGCCCCATCGGGTTTCCAAGGCATTAATTTTTACTCAGGCAGACTGCCACATCTTTCTCCCATGGAGCAGCTGGTGGGTTCAAACCACTGACCTTTCGGTTAGCAGCCAAGCACTTTAACCACTGTACCACCAGGGCTCCTTGTAAATAT